AATGATGGTTAACACTAATTAGGCATGCTTGGCATACACAATTATACTTACTGAGTTTTGGAAATAACAGTAGTCATTTGGTTACTTACTGTATATTAACAGCATAATATACACTGGTCTAAAGTGAGTTTTCAAAGAGTCTGTGATTTAACTGTGGAATTTTTTCCCCCCTCCTTCCTAAGATTTCATATCTGCTGCTTTCCGCCTCCAAATGACAGATACATACAGTACAGCATGACTAAGCTCAGGACTTTAATCCGTGAACAATTAGGATTAATCATTTAACGACAAAAGGTATCTGGCCACAGGCGCCAGATGAAATTGGCTTGACGCTCTAAATGGGCTCTTTTGTATGTGCCCCAAGATGAATGACTTGTTAGATGAATGATTTATGAGACAAGGTGCAGTTAAATCAAAGAAGTCTCTCCAAAAGTGTCAACGTGACAACGGTAAAGACAAAGTTAATGACTGGGGGATTGCTGATTTCAATAACTGATCTCCAAAACATGGTAGAAAGCAAAGAAAAAATTATTTGATGACAGTGGCCTGCGTGTGTTACAGATCCTGAGAGAGGTTTGTGTGCTCCCGATGTTTTCCTGTGTCGTGCCTCTCGGATTCTGCTCAGTGCTTCACGCCTATGGGATACCAAGGGACACTGTGCGGCCCTCCCATCCAGTGGCTGATCTGATTGTTATACAGTCACCACAAGGAGCTTGCTCTTTTCTCTTCTCTGTTGCAATTTCTTCTCCAAAATCAGTCCACTCCTGGTTGCCTTTCTACTGTTAGACAGAATGGGATGCAGGGTGGGCCAATACTTTCTTTCTCTCTAACAACCCAGCAAGGAAGCTACTGTAATAACTGTTAAACTTGCATAGAATGTAAGAATCTCCAAACTGGTAATCCCAGAAGATGTTTGCTCTTGACCTTTTCTGCCACAGGGAGAGTTATCGTGCACCTGGTACCTACAGTATATACAGTACATGTTTAGATAGAGGCCTGTGACAGAGCGCTTTTGTACAAATATAACCAATGTTCTTTTGAATGTATAGTAACTGGTGTGGCTTAATCACCGAGACCTCAAATGCTACTTTTCACTGACAGTTCCCAAAATTGTATCTAACTTCAGGCATGATGTCTTTTGTTAACATGACTAACTACAGTCAAAAGTCTATTTTCCGAGATTGGGTGGACGTGATGATACTTTTAAATTGCATATGGTTAGCGCCTTACAGAAAGCTGTTCCTATGTAAACAAGATTGCCTACATTACTTTTCGCTCCTTTAAAAACTTACCAGAGTAGCCTGGTGCCTTTTTTTCCCTTCAGAACTTAGTTTCCTCTATTTTTTTATGTGTGAGCATTCCCTGTTTTTTGCATTTGTATTTTGTTTTGTTTTTTAAATTAGTACAGACTTGGTAAAATACATTTCCAGTTCCTCAACAGAGGAATCTCACTCTACTCAAACACTGCTTCCTTTATGCATGAATTAAAATGTCAGTGACTCAGTGAAGCCACTTAGTCTGGTGTCTAGACTTTTTTACACCACCCAGGTCGCAGCTGTTGCTCAGGAATTGCCTCAATATATCCTGTCTGCTGGCTGTGTTGTTTGTGACTTTTCTCATTTGTCCGGGGTGAACATACTCCCCCTTTGGAAAACACATAAACTGCTCTCAAGTTCAGGTGTCAAAGCCAATGCAACACGTCTCCTCAGCTACCTTGCGAGATGTTACAGCATCTCTTTATTTGCCCTCTTTAAAGTGCAGCAACAGCTGGGGAAAAAAGTGTTTATGCTTGATTTTCAGGATGCAGCTGGCTAAGGGCTATACTTTCACATGGTCTGACACCAACATCAAATCTGCAAGTACTAAGTGCACAGCAGCACTGGCATGAGATTTACTATAATGCTGTTCCTATTGAGTGCCTGTTAGATGGCATGGTCAGAGTTCAGGTTCAGTGCAAACCTTTCTTAAAAAATTAATCAGTACTCAAATCCAGCTCTGCATCACCTAGATTCTACTGTTACCAAAATTAAATTAGTCCTTAATCCAATAAAGAATATGCACACATATTGATTTTTTGAAACGGTGAAATAATACGTTGATGCAACTATGACTCCTAACACTTTCGTCACTTTCCATCTCTGTAGATGGATGAGTGGTTGATACAAGGAAAAACAAAAGAGCACATTACTCAGCTTCAGATCGACAAGACAGTGACTGAGTTTGGTAAAGATAACGCACGTACATGGACATGCATTCATTGTGTGATTTAATAATTTAGATCAAATGAAGTTTCACTGAAAAACGTTTTTTCTATACAACTCTGTAATTGTGACATGCTGAAGCACCATATTACTGTCTTCATTTCCAGCACTCCAAATCCACAATCCTGTGCTTTTTATGGATTCATAAAACCATTCATGGATAAAGAATGTCTAACTTGCATACTTTATAGAGACAATCCAACTGCATTTACAGGTTATATAATTCATTGTAATCATTATTACAAATGAAAAAAGATGTTTTACAGGATTACAAAAACATTCAGGTGAACTATAATTTTACCTTATATTAAAGGTTGCTCATACTTACACCCAGTTCTACAAAAACTAAATACTAGTATACTAAATGACTGTACATTTCTGTGAAAGAATTTAAATGTAGCATTGTAATAGCTGTAGACAGTATAATAGAATTTCCAAGAATCTAGTGCATACTAAACAGAACTTTGTTCAAAATGCCTTAAGCATTTGTAGCAAATATGAAGATTGATCATCTAAAGAAAAGTATCTATTTAAAGTGGAAACTCAGATATGTTTTTACTGGAGATTAGTTAAAAGTACTGGTATAGTTAAAAGACCAGCTGGTGTCTCAGAGATCTCTTAACAACGTGAGTGAAACTCCCGAGACACACAGAAGCTGCTGAGTAAGTAGCCTACACCAATGAGCTGTTTGTGATATCCTGAGACTCTCCTGAAATTGGTCCTTCCATTTAAATGAATGTTGAAAGAAGATACTGGCGCTCCAATATAAACAGAAAGAAGAATAGTGTTTATATTGAATGTAAATGTAGAATATGCACATTTCACTGTAATATTAACAATACCTATGTACATTTAACAATTTAAATATTTAGTATAAGGTTTTATTTATTCAGACATTAGAATCAATAACAATTACTTTAAAATAGAGCTATGTCTCCAGAATGTTATGGATGCCTTGTTTCTTTTGAATTATATCAACAGTATTTTGTTGTGTGGAACAATTTACCAGTTATACTGTATGCCATACTCATACAGTATGTCAATGACAGCTACAGAGTAAATGTAAAGAGTTATATAAAGTATGTACACAAAAATATGCAAAAGAATAACCAGGATAATCACCTAAAAGGATGCCTAAATTTGCTGGAAGATTACAGGAAGGAATAAAACATTTAGCAGATAGTATCAGTTTAATAAAAGCAACAAACAGCTTATTTTTTCACGGTTTGAAACGTCACAACACTCTATAAAAATATAAGGCATTAAAAAATGCTAAATGTTGTTCTTAAAATTAGTGTCAGCTTCAACTGTAACGAACAGTTCTTTCCGGACCCTATGCGGACGACACAATCCGAAGAAGTGGGGAAACACTAGGAAAAAGTCCTGCAGGAATATGGGGGATGAAAACAGGGGGGCGTGTCCAAAGTGCGCTGGTGCACGGGGGAGGTGTGGCCGAGGCAAACAATCCAAAAGTAATCCATAGAGGGAATCCAAAAACGCAAGAATAAGTCCATAGCCAGGTGATCCATCCAAACCAGGAATTAAAACCATGAACCGGGTCGGAACTGGCGGACAGGGAACGGGACCAGGCGCTCCCAGGTCTCGGACTCGCACAGTGTGGAAACCAGATGCAGAGCCCGGCTGAACGTCAGCGCCTGGCTTTTAAGGTGGACTGGGCACAGAATTAAACGCAAAGTGCAAAGTGAAAGAGTCGGAGCGCCCTTAAGGAGGAGGGACTACAATCGTGACATCAACCTTGTGTCAGCATCTAACAATTGATCCTTAGTGTCTAGTCTTCATACTAGATTATTGCATCTTTGTCACTCCATAACTCCCTGGTACGACTGATGAAATTAGCAGGTCATTTTCTAAACATTGTATTTTTTTCAGATGATTTTATTCATCCATCCATCTATTTTCTAACAATCAGTTCAGGGTCCGCAAGGCAGGGTACACCATGGCCAGGGCGCCAGTCAATAATAGGGCAGGCACACTAACATGCACATACTCACACCAGGGCCCGGTTTTCACAGCACCTGCCAGTATGTTTTTGGACTGTGGGAGGAAACCAATGCAAACAAGAGGAGAACGTATAGAACAGATAGCACCCTGGATCTGGAATGAACCCAGGATCCCAGCACTTCGAGGTAACAAAGCTAACCACTGCTCCGCCATGCAGACTGTTCAAAGTTATTCCTGCAACGTATGTCATTATTTTTACTGTAATTTTCTAGCAACTAATGGAGCAATAATTTTTCTACCAATAAATAATTCTGTAACAAATTAGAACTCCAGGTTAACTGTGCTTGAGCTAATTCTCTTCTTTCTAACTTACCTATATCTCATGTAATAAGCTTTTAAATATATTTCAATGTATCTGGTACATTTGTAGAAGGGATGAATTTAATAACACCTAATTTATGGCATAAGTTACCATACTAATTTGCTTCAAACATTTACATTAATAAAGCAGACGCTGCTGTAGCATTCTGAGATGCCTCACATAAATGATTTTGTAAGTACTTTTATTCTAAGACTAAATTGTGCTGTATTGCATTTGCATTAGAATATGTTATGAAAAAGCATCTACCAGTGCAAAATTTGAGAACCAATAATTTATCAGGACAAAAACCTTAACTGTAGAAACTAATCTTTATTATGTAGATGATTCAACATTTTACATTTTTCATCAAAGTATTATTTTACTTTTGTATCAGTTTTTAAAATGATCAAGACAGAAGGCAATATCGAAAAAGAAAAAAAGTAAATGCAATTTCACTAATACAAAACAGGATATTAAAAAAACAACATATACAAATATCACAAACAGGCTGTTAATAATTTATCTTGCCTTGAATTATATTTGGTACGAATAATCTCATTTTCAGCAGGGTTTTTCTGTTTTAACAGCATCTGAAAGAAAAAAGCATTCATCAATCCATCTATTTTTGTAGTTAAGCCATCTGTTGTTTGTTGTCAAAAAATGTATTACATAAACACAAACATTGCCATATCCTAAAACTAAAGTCGGACACTGTTTGATATTTAAGTGGAGAACAGAAAATGCTCCTATCTTGAGATATAACCCTGAAAAAGGAGAGAGAAGCCTTATTTCGAAGGAGTTTGGGAGCTTTATAGTAAGGCATGTTATACCTTGAGCAAGACGTTCATTCATTTGTTTATTTATATTCATGTAAAAACACGTATTTTCTGCCCAGGCACCTGTGGTTTTGTGAGGCGCTATACATCACTAATGAAAAAGCAAACACTGGTTTCTGCAGTTTACTAAATAATATCTACTGCATTTGAAAACTTTTGTTATGATAAAGATTGCTCAACTCTCAAAATGGAAATACTGAAAAATACAAAATAGTAAATTGACTCGACTGTATTTTTACAAAATAATTGAACACTTCACAAAGAGTTGAACAACACACAACAGAAAGTATTCTAGTAAATGGAAAAAACCAACTACATTTCCTATATTTTTACTGTATACTCTGGTATATACAGAAAGTACAACTGCACAGTATTTAAGAACAGATCAAATAAAAACTTACATCCTATGGCATTAATAGAGAACATACATAATTTACAGCTACAACATGGTAAAATAAACAGACAATAGTTTTATTGACCTTGCTATCAATTGTTAATATTATTTTAAAAGCAAGCAAGCATATTCACACATACAGAAAAGCTTTCAGTGGATTGCCAAGCTATAATAAAAAAGCAAATGACTTGAATTGAGTCTTAAATGGAGTGTAATTTCCATTAAAAGGAAAAATATGATTGATATCATAAGGTAATGGTGCAGTGGTGTAAAGAGGTGTATTACAGGCAGACTGTACTGTACAGTGTTTTTCCAACAAGAAACGCAGAAGAGGGGATGCGAGAGGCATTTCCATTAGACACCGTCTTCTCATGCTCGAATACATCTCAATTTGTGTTTGAATTGTGGACGACAACGAACCTTAGCATTATGATTTTATAAAGGCAGCCATTTAAGGTAAATTGGCTACTTTTATAACTCGTATGGTGAAAAATAGAATTATTTGATATGGGCAGATAATCAGATGACTATTCCAAGTCTAATAATGTCTAAAAATGATGGACTAAAAAATCAAAAACTAATAACATTCATCACATAATATAACACGTAATGATCAATTTTTCGAATGAAAGAAAAGGTTTCATTATGTCAGGATAATTAAGCTTTATTTAAAGGCTTACCACATGGTATCAAAAGCTAAACTATTTGGATGAGCTCTGAGGATAAACCCTCCTATCCTGGGGTCTATGCACATTTCTTTTTTTTTGTTGTTTGTTTTCACCTCTAATGGAGGATGTTTTATCACGCACATGAACTACATCTGTACAATGAAAAAGAAAAGGCATAAAGGCAAGAATAATTTATATGTCTAAAACAGAAATAAAACATAAAATTATATTTAATGTTGTTTTTTTCCCCCAAAAAGCCAGAGTTTGTAAACAGGTTTAATATTATTTACAAGGAAATTTTAATGTAACAACTGGTGTTAATATATAGTATATGTTTGAAATACATTTAATTTATTTAAAAAGATGTGTATAGTGGTGAACAAATGATGGATGGGGAGTGTTTATCAAAACAAAATAGGAGGTGGTATACAAATAAAGTCAAATACATTCTCAGAAATCTTGGTGAATTTTAATGCCAGCATAATATGTGTTTCATTATCATGGTTGCAGTGGAGTAATAGAAATACAATAAATACAAGCAATAAATTAATAAAACGCAATATTTAGAGTATTTTTGAATATCAGTACTGCTAAATAAACAGGGCTGTAGGAGATTAGATCATAGTTCATGTCTTGAACTATCATGAGTTTTATTATTGTCAGAAAGAAGAATAGGTTCTACAGTGATCAAACCATTGGATAGCTCAACAGGAAAAAAAAGTTTGACAGCCCACCTTCCAATATTTTCAGCCGCTCAATGGCAACTTTTTCAATCTGTGCCTGCAGCTCGGGAAACTGTTGGAGAACCTTCCTGTAGCCAGTTACCGAGAGGGAGTACAGTCTGCAGGGTGTCAGGGCTTTCACACTGGCCGTCCGCTTCCCGTCTCTGATCAGGCACAGCTCTGTTCCAGTCAAAAAAGCACGTGACAAAACATCTGAGCTTTTCTGACGCTTTAGACTGGATATAAAACGTATAACATTTGTAACACAAAAAATACTGCAAATGAGATAAAGATGCTGTAATTCTTTTCTTCTGAGGGACTCAATGAAAAGGAACTATGTTCTTGCTCATAGAAGGGAAAGCATTAAAACACTGAATTATGTAACCTAGAGCATCACAAGAAGCCACAGTTTTGTTATTTACACTACTCTGAAGAGAGCACTGGTGTGAAGACTGTCCTATTCCAAATCGATTGGGCTCCAGCCTTCTGTGAATCACACGTCGATTAGCACTCAGCCCAGACTTTCCTAGGAAGTACTTGTTCATAATAATATAAGAAGCATTACAAACAAGAGGAGGCCACACAGCCCATCTTAGCCCTTAGACTAATTGATCATTATCGGTATGTTACAGCAAGTAATTATTAAGAACATAATTAAACTTTTATCAGGTTTATCAACATATTTTTCAATTCAATTCAGCATATTTTACTACAAAGCAGTGGCAAAAGTAAGGGACAAGTTTCACAATGATCAGAATAAATATTATAACTAAATAATATGAATAAATACTGTATTTCTCTTAGAATGAGTTTGGCTATTAACCCCTTCTCTCTGTTCAAATGGTAGCAGAAGACAATTATAGATACTCGTATATTTGCCTGGGATTGGCAGAAATAATAAAAGCATCTGCATGAAAGGGGAGGACAGGTCTCATACATTACAATCTATTCCTTCTTCTGCATGAGCTCATAATCAAATTAGTCAGGCATGGTGTAGTAGTACATCCATGCAGCCCTCATCACGCAATCCTATAATAATTACTTGTGTTTCTGCCAGCTATAATTTCTGATCAACACAGATGCTTCAGTTGTCGTTGAGGACACATCTATAAAAATGTTTGAATTTCCAAACATTTTTCCGAGCACTAATTACAGATGGATAAGGGTAGTGAAACCTCTTATTGTCTGATCTGTGGTGAAGTGTTAATTGGTCTAACTTCTGCACAGCTTCAAAGTTAGAAAGAAAATGGCTATGACGCATTAAAATGACATTGAGGAACTTGTTTCTCAGCATCAAGTTTGTCTGCAAATACCCACCCTACTACTATAGATGAGCCCCTCTGCTGTGCCCTGTTTCAATTATTTTTAACTGAAAACGTTCCAAATCACAACAAAACAAGGGGAAAAAAATGATTTCACTCCACCCCCCAGAACAGCTCCTACACAACATCCTACCATCAGTGGCGACCCTCCCCACCCTGAGTCTCCTACAGAGGGATGCCTGAAAAGAAATGGCACATCTCTGATGAAAGTACTATACAGTAAGGATTTGACCACGTCAGCAGAGGCACTCTAATCCCTCACCATTCCCCAGTCCCCCACCAGCACTACGCTCTGCACTATGGATTCTGATAGTAAAGCACCAAATAAATAGTCAAGACAGGACAGGATCCAATTAATATCTGTGGAGGGAATGCAGGGGCTCCCAGTGCAATCTCGACATCTTCTCAGCTGCAGTGAGGCCAGCCAACCAGAACTGTGTCTGCTGCTGTGGGAGGCCAAGATTGGAGTTTAGCCATTTAGCAAGATCACGGGAGGATTGGCTGAAGCTCTGGACTCAGAATTGGAAAGGTTGTGTGAGTTCAAATCCCAGGTGGGGCGCTGCTGTTGTACCCTTAAGCAAGGTACTTCACTCAGATTCCTCCAGTAAAACGCCTAGTGTATAAAAAGGATTTAATGTAAATTGCCTGGATAAAAGCACCAGCCAAATACATAAATACTAGATGAGAGCAAGGAGTATTCTTGTTTACAATCGTGGAGAAAGAAGAGAAGACATATCTCCAAAACCTAACCACACTTGACTTAACTGGATACTCCCGCAATGTGTAGAAAGATGACAACAGATGCCCGTGGATCATAGCCTCTCTTTCTACATGAGTTTGGAAATTCTACTGCACAGTCTGTCAATACCAAAAATGGGGAGAAAGACCAATCACAGAACTAAAAACATTCTAGCAAGGAAATAAATTTATTTTATTTTTTTATGGAGACACAAGAAGAAAACTGGAAAAATGTTCAAGTCAGATATTTAAAGGTGCTGATATTATAGTGGTGGCTCTGTGGCTAAGGATCTGCGCCTGTGACTGGAAGGTTGCCAGTTCAAATCCTGCAGCTGGCAGAGGAATCCTACTCCGTTGGGCCCCTGAGCAAGGCCCTTAACCCCAACTGCTCCAGGGGTGCCGTACAATGTCTGACCCTGTGCTCTGACCCCAAGCTTCTCTCCCTGTCTGTGTGTCTCAAGAATAGAAAGTTGGGGTATGCGAAAAAGACAAATTCCTAATGCAAGAAATTGTATAGGGCTAATAAAGAAACATTATTATTACATTACATTATTAGTTGTTAATTGGATAGCATGTTAAGAAAATTAAATCTGAAAAGCACTGCTAACAAAGTGCTTAACCAGTGGCGCAATTGGTTTTCTCCACTGCAAAATGTAATGGCAGTAATGTAGACTTGAATCGAATAACTTTTAAGTCTTGATGGGGCAAGGAAAATCCACAAAAACAGTTAACAGCTGAGGTAAAAAATGAAAGACATTATCTACATATATTGTGAACAAACAGTTATATGCAACGTTGAGTATGGTTAATTAAAAATAGGCCCAGAAATACTAGATGGATGGACAGGTTTAGCTAGTTGTTCCAATGACAAGGGAAATAAGAGTGCTGGAAATGGAAACCCATTGCGTCCCTGGAAATTGCAAACTAGCATAATCACTTGCTGCCTGTGAACAACCTTACTGAAGAACTGGCAAACTTTTACCCATATTTATGAAGCTTGATCCCAAACCTATATGACCTTCAATTGATTGTATAGCTCCACTTGAGTAAAAAGCCTTCTCAGCCTCCTGCGAAGGAATGGCATAAAGGGAGATAATGTCTGCAGCTGTTATGTGTAAACATGCAGAAGATTGCAAATGTTATTGCACACAAAACACCCTTTAATCAAACTTGTCTGATAACAGTATACTAATTTGATAATATGGTATCCAACCAGTGTACTGTATAATAGCAGTATTAACATCCTTGAAAAATGGCTGAAAAAGCTCAATGGCTTTATGCTGTAGTATGAATAATTACAAGCAAAAAAGGACCTAACTTATTTATTATCCGTTAAAAAGGAGTGAATTGTCTCCTGTGCTTCGAACAGGCATATGGGTGCCTCCAGTATAGCCAATCCGCATGAGAAAGACTAGGTAAATAAAGAGGCTGGAGATACGTCAGACAAGAAAAGCTCTGGAATTTACAGGTTCTGCTAATAAAAACCGAAGAGCTGATCAGACACCAGGGAGCTTTTTTGCAGTCTCAAATCTAGAAAATGGCTGGGCCTACTGTTAGTTTTAGTAATAATTTAGTAGATTTATATAATTTGCACATTTTCTAATTAGTGACTTAATTTTTTTACTAAAGGTGATTTCCAATGCAGTAGTCTCAGAAAAGGTGAGTTGTAAAGCAAGATACAGTATAGCAACGACAATGTGGTCTGCACGTTCTTATTTTACTATAATAAGAATTATGCACTTGGAAAACAAATACAGCAGAATAATCTTTAATTAAGTATTTAAATTTCAGAGATTTCAGGGGTAATTAAAAGATCCATGGTTATAAGCAAGAAACTTAGATTTGTGATAGAACTGTTCCATGGGATTAAAATGATATATGAAGACTTTGGTACAATTAGTACAGGTGTCAGAAACTGCCTAGAGAACGGACATATAGATGATAGGTCTAAATTGAAGGAGATTTAGGCCTATCACTTACTGTATATACCCAGTCTCCAGGCAGTTTCTGCACACTTGTACCAATTATGATTTACCTGTATGATTCATGACAGTGTTAATTTCAAAACACAGAATTGCTTCAGACATAGGAAATTACAGAAGAGATCAAACCAAAAGATTAAAAGAGGGGTCAAATGTCAAAGACGTATTAACTAAAACAACAAATAACTGAAATGGTAGTTTTCAAATACAGATGCACCCATCTAAAATGCACATCAAAACCTGCGTCAGTGGTAAGCAAACTGCAGCATACTGCAGTCTGTTCCAGCATATTGAATTTAGTGCTTCACAGCTCAAAGAAGATCGACAGGTGGCACTTGTGCTGTATTAGATATTAGTGTGTGGTTTTTAATTTGGTGACGTGAGCTGAATACATAGACAAAAAGACTACATTTCCCAATGTACTGTACCATACATATTAAAGAATTCTGTAAAGTAATACCCACAGATATCAACTGTATAACATACATCAATTACAGTACAGTATTAGCATCATTCTTGCATACTGCCTTCATCTGGATGACATTACTCACATCATTGTTTAGCAAACAATCATTAAAATGTTATTACAATATTTAAATATATTAATCTAAATGTAGTGGAGACCTGTATACATATCAACTTAAGCTACGCAAAATGTCAAATCACTACTCAAAACTTTTATTTATTTTTTTATTTTCAGTTTATTTGCTTTAAATATGATATGTTTTTAAAGCCACTATGTATATTTTATATGATCAAGTCTAAAATAAAATTATGTTTTCTAGTTACTGTTTATACAGTTACTAATAATTCTGTATAATCTATGTAAAAAATAAACAGTAATTTCGTTAGTGTTATACAGTGTTATAGTGTTATAGTGTGACATACTGTACGGTATCTCTTACAGTTCTAATTTGTGGTAGCAATGTGGCTACAACATCCCGTCTCAACAGTGTAATTAATTAAACTGTTTAATGAAAGCAATAATGGGCTAATAAATATTTAATCCTGTAAAGATTTTTGTTTGACAACCACACACAGCTCTGGTACTTTAAGGATTCACTGCACCACCTGGCAGTTTTGTAGAGTACTGCAGTCCTACATCCAATTATTAAAAAATAAAAATGCCCTGACGAAA